GCAGCCTTGAATCCCACGCCCTGCCCAGTGGGGAGCAGCCCCAGGCCAGCGCGGTGAGTGGAGGGCTCTGGGAGCCGCGGTGGGGACCCGCTTGCTCTGCCCACGTTGGGGGTGCCCTGGAGGAGCTGGCCCCTGAGCTGGATTTGGATGTGGGGCAGGAGACCCCAGAGCCGAGAGCCAGAAAAGGGCGCTCTGGCTGGCGGGGATGGCAGGACGCAGGCGTGGTGGCGGGAGAGAAGCGTTTCCGTCCCAGCCACGCCTCGGGTCTCCCTCCCTGACAGCTCTCTTCGAAGAAGTGTTTTTAGATCCCGTGTTGTCACCTTCTGCCTGCGCGCTCGAGGTACCAGAGAAGGTAGGCACCTGCCCGGCCATCCGTCCTCGGACATGTCCGTCCTTCTTTCCGCTCACATCGCTCACCTGCTTGATTGACGCCTCCAGCCCCTCAGCCTTGCAGCTGCCTCCCGCCCGCCCACCCACCTGTCCTTCCACTCCTGCTCCTCCTCATCTTTCCAGAGATTGGTCCACCGTCTAGGCCCTTCTCTGCCCATCCTTGACCACTCACTGCTGGCCACCAGGCCCCAGCTCTGTGCTGGGCACTTGGAATGAACTAGCCACATAGCAGAAAAGCTAAACGCTGCCAGATGCCCATAAAAGACCCCACGTGGTTTTCCAGCTGCTCTGGGAGGTGGGGTCTCTCGTGACCCATTTTACAGCTGAGGGAACAGAATAGCAGAGTGACCCCAGAATCCTCAGCTGGAAAGAGCCTCCCTCCCAGGCCCCTGGGCTGACCTCAGTAGTCACTGTCTGCCCCAGGAGCTCACCGTCTGTCTGACGGAGGGGCAGCCCCAGCTCTGGTCCCCAAACGATTCTCCCTCCAGCGTGTGTGGGGGGCCTCCATGAGTAGCTGAATTGGCGGCAGAAACAAAAACAGACCCCCTTTGTGGAGCTCTAAGTGAGTGCCGGGCGCTGTGCTGGGTGGTTCTTAGGCCTGTGAGGCATGTGTAGGGACCACTCTTCTGCAGATGAAATTCATGCTCAGAGCAGTCAAGACTTGTGCAGGGCGTCACAGCTCCTCCGTCAGGTGGGAAACTGGTGGCATTGAGAGAGTTTGCCCCAGAATAGGAGGCAGGAGACCCGAGCCCAATCGGCCCTCTCTGACCTCCCGTGGGAACTTGGGAACGTCCGCGTGAATGTCCAGGAGGAATTTGGACGAGGTTGGCTTGAATTCCAGCTGTTTCTGATGCTCACGTTACATCCTAAGCAAGCAGTGAGTGGGGGCATGAAGGGACACCACGGTCTCCCCTCACGTCCCCTCCATCCTTCTCCTTCACCCACAGGACACGCCCTCTGAGGACCCCGAAGACCCTCCCCACTCCCATAGCCTGTGCCAGTCCTCGGTCTCGCTGGACGGTGGCTACCCCTCCCCGGGTGAGAACAGCAGGGCGCCGTCCAGCCCCAGCTCCGCGGACACAGACACTGACTCTGAGTCGACGTGGCTGCAGCAGGAGGTGAGGGAGGCTGCCCTCCGCGAGGTGGGTCTCGCGTTTCCACCGGTCTTCATCTCTCCGTCCCCCTCCCAGGACGCTCGGGCCGTGGGCCTGCAGTCCTCCAGCGATGAGGACGGAGACTACACGTGGACGCCCACCCGGCGGGCCTCCACCCTGCCCGCAGCCGGGAGAAAGGCCAGGAAAGGCCGGGCAGGCAGGGGCCCCGTGAAGCCCAAGGAGAACAAGAAAGCCCCCCGCCCCACCCAGACAAAGAAGAAGTGTGTCAACGGCTTCATCATGTTCTGCAGGATGAACCGGAAGCAGTACATCCGGTGGGTGGGCCCTCTGGCCCTGGGTGGGGCCCTGTTTTCTCTGTCCACCTGCCCCCCAGAGCATGGGGCCCTGCTGCCACGGACACACGTGCCTCTCCCGGGAATGACCCACCAACCCTTCCTCCATCGCCTTCTCCCCCAGCATCTCAGCTGGCCCCGTTGCATTGGTCAGGGCCTGTCAATTGTAAGCAGTGAAACCCAACTTAGACTTAAGAAAAAAAAAAAATTATCTGGTTTATATAACCTGAAAAAAGGAGAGGGAGTGGATTGCCTTCAGGTGTGGCTGGTTCTAGGGGCTCGAATGCTGCTGTGTGGAGTTTTTGTCCCTCTCTCTGCTCTGCTCCACTGAGTTGGCTTCATTCTCAAGCACGCTGGGCCCAGTTGGGGGCAGGGTCCCCCCCAGGACCCTCGTGTCCTGTCTCCCACCCTAGCAACCCTGTGTGGGGAGAGCTCCTAGTTGCTAAGGTTTCAAGGAAGGTTCTTGGGGCTGACTTTGATCAGGGGCTCGGCTCTGGACTGTCCTTGTCAGCCTGAAGCCCGGGGGTGGGGAGGCCCCCAAACCACAACAGAGGAGAGCTGGTGTCCTCACAGGAAGATCCAGGAGTTGGTACCTGGAGTGGTGGATCCAGGTCCCCTATACTTTTCCGGGACATGGGTGTCACCTTTCTGAGAACCATTGAGTCCAGCCCCCTTCTTTAACTCCTCAGCTGCAGAGGGTGTATCATGGAGGCCTTCCAGGCCAACGTGGATGGAAAGGATCTGAGTTCCCAGATGGGAAAGCTGAGGCCAAGAGGCCAGGGAGCCTGTAGAGTCATCCTGTCGACTAGGCTGCCCTGCAGCCTCTCCTCACCTCTCCCCCTCCCTCCTGTCCCAGAGCCTGCCCTGGGACGGCATCCACGGCTGCCACCAAGGAGCTGGCCCAGCTCTGGCGGGAGATGACCCAGCAGGAGCGGAGACCATATTGGTGAGAGGGCTGTGCCCAGACGGCGTGGACATGGGGTGAGGGCCTCCGAGCTCCTTAATCCAGCCCTGATCCTCAGAGCCTTGAGCTGCATGACGCTGGAACTGGGTTGGGAGTTTACTGGGTGGGAGACATGAGTGTCACAAACTTTTATGAGAGTTGGGGTGACAGAGGTGGAGAGGTGCTCTGCCTTGTAGCCTAGAAGTGCACATAGCTTAATTCGGAGTCTGGACCCTGCTGCCCTAAATTTCTTTTGCCCTCTCTGCCCCAGGGAGGGTCTCAGAACAGGAAAGGGGTCTTGTTTCCCAGTCACTTGGCCTCCTCCCTCCCTCCTCCTCTTCCATGCCCTCCCTCCCTGCCGCCCTCTCCTCTCCAGCCTCAGAGCTGCCACCTGCCCATTTCTCAGTTGGCCCCTGAAACCCGGGTGTGTGTGCGCACACAGATTTGCACAGATCTCACGGGACTGTGGGGCTCCAGCAAAGAGCCCTTGGCCAAGTCCCAGCGGATAGACTGGGACTCGGAGGCCGCAAGGTTCGCCCAGTGGGGCCAGATAAAGCCCTGGTGTCCCTTAGGCCCAGGCTCTGGTCACTGCCGGGGCCACAGCACGGGGGGGTGGGGGCAGACCCCGGTCACCGCCGGGGCCACAGCACGGGGGTGGGGTGGGGCAGAGCTCCGGGAGGTGAGTGAGGACCGCCCCACCGCCTCTCCCCCAGCACCAAAGCCCGCAGGTTCAGCCGCCAGCACAACCGCATCGTGAAGCGGGGCAGCTCCAGCAGCGAGGACGACGACTGGGAGCCCCCCAAGCCCTTCTACCAGCTGCTGGCTGAGAAGGCCCACCGCTCCCCTGACCCGGCCCCTCGGCTGCCTCCTCGCCGCCAGTGAGGGGGGCCCCGCCCGCCCCGCCTCCCGCAGCTCTTGTTGAAACCTGGAGCCTGATGAAGAGGTTGTCCCCTCCTGGGCTTCACCCCGCCTCTGCGGGTCCCCTCGGCTGGCCCCTGTGGGCTGGGAGGGGGCGTATTTGTTGACCCCGATGCCTCCGTGTTACCCTTGTACCCGGCAGCCTGAACTCTGCCCGCCCGCCGCCACCCTCCCCACAGCCCTTTTCTCCGGGGGCAGCTCAGAGCTGCCATGGGAGGAGGAAGCCCTGAATGAAATGCAGGGAGGCGATGTCTGAGAGCCGGGCCTCCCCTCTGCCCTTCCTCTGCCCGCCAGCCCAGAATCAAATGGTTTCAACCCTGTTCACTCTCACCCTCCCCTACTCCTCCCTCCCCTGTTCTATTTATAGATTATTTATTGTTTTCAACAAAATAAAGCAAGTGGAACCCTTGTTACCAGCAAGGGAGACAAGGGCAGGCTGTGCTGGTCCCCTGCCCCCTCGGCCCCTGGGGCGCTCCTTCTCCCCTGGGTCTGGAGACCCTAGGGCCTGCAGTCTGCAAGGCACTGAGCTGCCGGCACCTTCCCAAGCCCCATGGCAGATCTGACCTCTGACCCCCATCCCCATCAGAGAGCAGTGAGCAAAAACCCAGCATCTCAGGTCAGGCTTTCTGTGGCTCAGTGTTTCCTGGGCAAGTTGTTGGGAAGGTAACCCACACCCCCAGAGGTTCTAGTTGTCTGTTAACTTTATTTTAATTGAAACGGAGGCATAACAAGTCCTAGAAAAATAAAGATTTAGGATACAAACTAGACACAGGGGTCAGGGTCGCCCCGGGGTGAGGGGATCTTTGGTCTGGGGCTGGATGTGATAACGGGGGACCCTCCCCAGGCCTCCCCACACCTGCATCCCTGTTCAGCAGGAAGGGCCCGGCCAGGGAGGGGCTGTGGGTCTCTGGGCGCGGGACCGCCCATCCTCCACCCTCGGATTCCAAGCGGTTCTGAGAACACGGGTGTCAGTGGAGCTATTAATAGTGTCTAGGGAGTGACGGAGACGGCTCAAGGGGGTGGCAAATCCAGCCACTTGGCAGGGCTTTCAGCTCACAGCTAGTACCAGGTCGAGGGGGGCAGAGCCCCTGAGTCAGGACCCCCAGATCTCCCCATATACGGGGGGCAGGGCAAGGAGGGCTGTAACAGAGGAGGCCTCCTGTTCAGAGGATGGGGCCCCCAGACGGGAGTGGACAGGGGTGAGACCCCGGCCCTCCAGGGCGTGGAGAGGTGAGGGCCGGGGCTGTAGTGGGGTCTTCAGGTGGCAGCTCTTGTGTTTCTGAGGTTCCCTCCTCCAGGGCCATCCTGGATCTCGAGCACCATTGTCAGAATGGGCGATGAGGCGTTGGGGTCACAGTTCCAGGGGCTCTTCCACAGGCACCGACTGCAGCTGGGTCAGGACCTTGGTCTCAGCTTCCAGCCCCTCATCAACCTCGCCCCCCGCCGTGGCCCCCAAGAGCAGGCCCTCGGGGTCGGGGTCCTGCAGCCTCAGCACGGTGTGGGGGGCCTGCGTGCCCAGCCCCTTCTCTGCTTCTAGCAGCCCCTCTGTACCCGCGCTCAGTTCCAGCCCCGCCGGCCAGATGGGCAGGGCTGCGGGGGACACCATGAGCCCCTCAGGCGGGGGCGCCGGGAAGCCGGGCAGGAGGCCGGAGGATTCTGGGGAGAAGGGCAGGCTGGCGGCGGCGGTGGCGGCAGGGGCGGGTGGCGGCTGTGCAGAAAGTGCGCCCAGGGCGTGGGCCTCCGGGAGAGCGGGGCTGGGGGCCACCGGGAGGGCCCCTTCGGGCACTGAGATGGCCGAGTCTGGCTTCAGGGGCAGGGCGAGGCTGGGGGCGGGTGGCAGGACCTGGGATACCAGCATGCTGGTGGGGAAGGTGGCCGTGAGGATGATCTTGCCCTGCTGCACGGCCACACCCGTCACGATGGGGCTGCCGGACACAGGGTTGGCCAGGAGGAAGTTTCCTGTGGGGAGAGGAGATGGGCTGGGGCGCAGGGTTAGAGGGGGCCGTGGGCCAGGCACAGAGGGGAGACGAAGCTGCCGGAGGGCAGGCGTATGATCAGCCCCTTCAGGGTGGGGCCCTGGGCCTGGCACAGGACGGGTCTGGGATGTGCCAGGGATCAGCTGCCCGCCCCCAGAAGCCCACTGACAGTCCCCTCCCTCCGAGACAACTGCACCCCCGCCCAGCCCTCACCCAGGCCGGAGGGAGGCAGAAGGGGTACCTGGGGCAGTGGCCGAAGGCAGCTGCAGGGCCGTGACGCCCACCCCGGAGTTGATCAGGTGCACGTTGGCGGGGCCTGCTGCAGCGGCCACCTTCACCGGGCTGCCGGGCCCAGCTGCCAGCAGCTGCAGTGGCCCCACCGCCTGGGGCAGGGTCACCACCTGCGAGGTGGGCACCACCTGGGGCAGGTTCAACAGTGGGGAGGCGGGGCTCAGGCCTGCAGGGTAACCAGGGGGTGGGGAGAGGGGCACCACTTGTGGAGCAGCCACGGAAGGCACTGGCCCTGGGGGCAAAGGAAAGGGGGCAGCCGGGGGAGGGCCGGGCACCACTTGGGACAGAGGCCCGGGGACCTCCTCTCCAGCCTGCCCTGAAGCAGCCACCTGGGTCCCCTTGGTCTCGGGGGCCTCAGGCTGAGCCTCCTCCAGTCGAACCTCCCCGGTCTGAGGGTCCAGGACCAGGGATGCCTTGCCTTCGCTGGCCCCCTGGGGACTGGGCTGCGGTGGAGGGGCGCCACCGCCCCCTGTGAGCAGCAGGGGCCCCAGGCTGGAGGCCTCGCCCAGGGCCAGGCTGTTGATGATGACGGGGCTGCCATTCAGGAGCACTGCTGGAGGGCTGCCGGCTGCCAGGAAGCTCCCGTTCACCAGAATGGAAGACGAGGCAGGGCACTGCGCGGGAGGGGCGGCCCCAGCCAGGAATATGGAGCCCTGGGCCGGGGCCTCGGCGGCCACGGGAGCCACCCCCCTGTCCAAGTCCTCAGGACTGCGGCTGGACTCGTCCTCAGTTGTGGGGTTCCCATCAGACTCGCTGGCCGAAGAAAGGATTGTGAGTTGCGGTCGGAACGCCGTGTTCCCCCACAGCCCGCCCGATTCCCACAGAGAGCCTGCCGTGAGCTGCTCTGCAGGCGCACAGGGTGACCACGGCCTCCCCACCTTTCCCCAGCCCAAACTTCTGTGGACATTTTCTTGGGGGTTAGGAGACCTCCTCTCTGAGACCATCCAGGGACCCCAGGGGCAGAGCCTCTGCAAGCCCGGCACTGACAGCACTGCATAAAAGCTGAAGCTGGCCGCACCGGGAGGGAGGAGGCCCTGCCGCCGGCCCCTTGGCCGCGGGCCCCAGAGCTGAGCACCCGGGCTGCCCTAAGTCTCCTGGGTCAGGCTGGAAGCGCCGAGCGCCTTCGGAGACAGTGAGGAGGCAGAGGCCCGCTCAACTCCTGATGGGCCCCCCCGCCCCGGGCCCGGAGAGAAGGGAGAGGCCGGCGCGCAGGGTGGGAGGAGAAGGGCTTGGGTTACAGGGAAACCGGAGCTGGGGAAGGTTCACGTTTCACAACAAAGACAGACGACGGACCACGCTGTTTGGGCCCTGGGGGGGCGGGGGTGGGGTGAGGAAGAGTAACGGTCAGGGAAGGGCCTGGCAGCGAAGGCGCCTGAAAGAAGCCCCTCCGTGGGGTGCAGTGGTCAAAGGCCCCTCCCCCTCTCCCGCAGCCCCTCATTTTCTCCCTGCCTCCCCCTAGTCTAGCCACGAACACGGATGGCATCTGGGATGGAGCCCTGAGCGGAGCAGAGGGAAGAGGTCTCCTAGCCTCCGCGAGGAGCAGGGATGTCCGGGAGAGGGCCCGGGGCGTGTGCCCGTTCCATCCACACGCATCCCCTGCGCTCGGCGGGCGCCAGAGGGTGTGCGCGGGAGGCGCCCGAGGAGCTGGGCGCGCGGACTCCCGCAGTGGGCACGGGGGCGAGGGGGCCGGCGGATAGCAGGGCCCCGGGAAAGCGTGCCTTGCGCCGCCCGGGTCCCCTCACCTCTTGCAGGGCGCGCCGCCGCTGCCCCCGGTCCGGTCGCGCTGTCGCCGGTTCTTGAACCAGTTGCTGACCTGCGTGAGCGAGAGGCCGGTGAGCGTGGCCAGGCGGCGCTTCTCGTCCGGCGTGGGGTAGCGGTTGCCGCGGTAGCAGGCCTTGAGCGCGGCGCGGGAGCGCTCCTTGAAGCAGTAGACGGTCTCCTCGCCGTCCCAGATGGTCTTGGGCAGCGGGAACTTCTTGCGCAGACGGTACTTGTCCACTGCGCCCAGCGCGCGGCCGCGGGCCCGCTCGGCCTCGTGGTAGCGCGCGCGCAGGTAGAGGTCCTGCAGGAAGGCGTGGTGGGCGGCGGGGAAGGGGCGGCTCTCGAGCAGCCGGTAGAGCTCGGCGTACTCGCCCCGCTGGAAGGCCACCAGGGCCCGAGCGCGCAGCACCGGATCGCTGCCACGTAGGCGTTCGGCCGGGGGCAGTGCGCCCAGGAAGCGGCTCAAGCGGCCGGCGTGGCCCGCCTGTAGCAGCGCCTCGCATACGCACGCCACCTGCTCGGGCGAGAAGCGGAGGCCCGTGGACGGCTCGGCAGCGGCCTCGGGGGACGATCCGGGGACGCCCGGGGACCCCGGGCCCTCCGCTCCCGCCGCCGCTTCGCCCGCCCCGGCCCCGGCCGCCGCCGCCGCCTCACCCTCGGCCGCCTGCAAAGTCTGCAGGAGCTGGCGCGCTTCCTCCTCCTCCTCTTCGGCCGCCGCCGCCGCCACTGCCTCCCCCCCAGCCGCCGGCCCCGCGCTCGGCTCCGCAGGCAAGGTAGCCATGTTTTGCAACTTTGGGAAGTTCCTGCCTCCTTCTCCTCCTCCCTCGGGCTTTCCCCAGCCCCCCCCCCCCCCCCTCCGCCCCCCCCTCGTGCTGCCCGATCTTCTCCCCCGGCCGACTCCGCGTCTCCCGCCCCCAGATGCCAAGGCCCAGCTCTCCACTAGGATCTCTGTCTCAGTGTCTGTGTGTGCCCGTCCCCCTCCCCGTCTGCCCGTGATTCTCCCTTTGTTTTCCCTCCGCCTCAGGCCGCGCTTTTTGCCAACCCCCGCGTGTGCCTCTGGCTCAGGGCCTCAGTTTCCCCATCGGGACAATGGAGAAGGTAACGGGCCGTCCGGGAGGGGTAAGGGCGCGAAGCCACCTCCGCCCAGAGAGTGAGCTTCTGCACGCCTCCGTCTCCAGGGTCTTCGGAAGGCCCCCCCACTCTCCATCTCGGCCTGCGCTCCGCCCCTCGGAATTCCCGGCTCCGCAGGGGGGCGGGTCTGGCAGGGAGAGGGGGCGGGGGAACGGGCTAGAAAGTTTACAGCAACTTTTCTTGAGCGTAAGTCCCCGGAACGGATGCGCGTGGCCCGCGCATGCGCAGTGGTAGGAGGATGGCCGCGAGCGCCGCCGGCCCAGCCCCCTTCTCTCCCGCGATCGAGTGGCACAGCTGGGCCACAGCTGGACGAGGGGCGGTGCCTTCGCGTAGCCCACTCGCCTTCTTCTATTGGCCGGATGCCGAGGCCACGCCTCCCAGTCCCCAGCCCCAGCCCTGATTCGTTCACTTCACGTCCCGCTAGCTCCCCGCCAGGCGATGGGCCGCCTCCACGCGCCTTCTGATTGGCCCACTGAGCAGCCGCAACGCAAACAGAGCGGACACAGCGGAGTTCCGAGCTTGGGACAGACGGGAGGGCCTTTTATTCGCGAGGATCGGGGGTGGGGTCCTAGGTGGGGAGAGACAATAAATACCGAGGAATGTCGGGGTCTCAGTGCATCCAAAACGTGGATCAGGGTGCTGGAGTCCTGGAGCCTGTCAGCGGGTCGGAGAACAGGTCAATAAATACCCAGACGCCGAGGCGGGCGGAGCCGGCTGTGGCTCCGAGAGCGGCGCACGTGAGGAGGAGGACGCGGGGCCCCCGAAAAAGCGGGGCTGGCCAAAGCAAAAGGCTCCCGGGAGAGCGAGCGGAGCTGGCGCTAGAGCTTCGCCGCGGGAAGAGAACGTTTCGGGGGAGCAGGGCCTCATGCACGGGGGGGATTTGTGGTTTGCGAGCCGCCGTGGGTGGGGGTGCGTGGATGGCCGAGCCCTGGCCCTGCTGCCTTCTCGAGATCGCAGTTTGTCCGTCTGTGTCGAGGCCTCAGCCCGGCCGGAGGAAGGAAGTGGTCCGCGATTCCCCCCCAGCAGCAGCAGCAGCCGCAGCCGCAGCCGCAGCCGCAGCAGCGTCATTCCCGTCTACCACCCTCCCCTGCGCCCTGTGCTCCGGCCGCGGGCCCGGCTCCTCCCTCCCCGGCCGCCAGGGGGCGGGCCCGGATCACAGGGCTGGAGCTGGGGCGGAGACCCACGCTGGGACTGCTGTCAACGGGGCGGTGGGAGTGGCTTCTGGGCCGTTCCCGGGTCACCCAACCCTCCAGCGGGGCCCGAGGAGGACAGGCTGGGGCTCTAGGGTTCAGGGGGCGAAGGCGTCTCCCGGGCGGCGCCAGACCGGGGTGAGATGGCCGGCGCAGGCCACCAACCCAGCGCAGCCCAGGGCGGCGGCACCAGCCAGAGCAGCGGCGAACAGCAGGGAACGCGCCTCCGATAGGCTAGGCCTAAGGACCTGCGGGCGAGAGGGCGGGATCAGCACCGCGACACCGGCCCCTGATTGGCTCCCGGGACTCGCCCCGCCTACGCCCGTGGGTGGGTCCACAATCCTCCCAGAACTCCGCCCCTCCCCCGACTGCGCGGGCAGCTGCAGTTGGTGGGCTTGCAAGCCTCAAGTCTTATTCGAGCTCGTCATTGGCTGCTTCCTAGCGGCCTGTGTTCATTGGCTGCCCGAGCATCCTCCCTCCCCGCGGCAGGCCCGGCCCCGCAGAGGCGCAGCGAAGCAGAGGCTCGGCGTGCGTGGAGCGATGCGGGGGCGCGGCGGCGGCGGGCGGGCGTGAGCAGCCGGACGTACCCTGGCAGGGAGCAGCAGGTGGCGGCGGCGCATGGGGTCTGGCCCCACCAGCGGGCACTGGCCCAGAGCCACGGCCGGGGGACCATCTAGCTGGAGAGAGAAGGGACAGGTGACCCGATCGGAGCCCAGCCCGGCCCGGCCGCCGTCGGCGGGAGGCGAGAGAGAGCGAGGGGAGTGGAGGTCGGGGAGGGAATCTAGGGATCCCGGCCGGGATTTGGCGAGAGGCCTGAATCGGGGGAGATCTGGTAGATGCGGGGCTGAATGGAGGGTGTCTGCCGCCTGGAACCCGAAGAGGTAGGGTGAGCCCCAAGTCTGGACGGGGAGACGGGGACGGGGTTTGCAGAGGGGAGAGCAGGCTTGGCGCAGGGGACAAAGAGGGGTCTTACATGGGAAGGTGGATCCGTGGCCCGGGGACTAGGGACCCCCGTGACAGCTGGAAGGAGAAGAGAGAGGCGTAGGGCGCGTGGAGGGACGAGGAGGGCGGTGGCGCGGCGTGCCCCAGCCTGGGCCCCTCGCCCTCCCCCAGGTGTCCACACACGCCGCGGGCCCACCTCCCCCGGCGCCCTCGGCAAAGGGGGCGGCTGAGGGACTCGCCTGCGGCTCCCTCGGCCTGTAGCTGCTCCATCCGCTCCTGCAGCCGCCGGACTTGCGCCTCCAGGTCTCGGTTCCGGGCCTCGGCCTCGCGGAGCTGACTGCGGGGAGGGAAGGACCGTGAGCCCTTGGATCGCAGCGAGCGAGGCCGCTACAGGCAGCGACTGGGCCCCGAGCCCCGGTCCCGACCTGGCGAACTTCTGGTTGGCCGTGCGGATGGCCTCCAGCTCCCGACTCAGGCTCTGCCGGGTCAGCACCTCCTCCTCCAGGGCCTCCTGGAGCTCGCGCAGCGTCATTTCGGCCTCCGCCACCGCCGGAACGGCCTCCGCATCGGCCTCCAGGACTGCCGCTTCAGCCTGTGGATGGGGACCGGGTGTAGGGCTGGGTTTCCTGTGGCTCCTGGAGCCTTCGAGACTTGAGCATGGGTTCCAGGCCTGGTATCCTCCCTTGTCTTCTACTCCCCCATCCCCTGGATCTTTCTGGACTCCCCACAGCTCCTACAATGATGCAAACCCCCTCCTTCCCTAACCCCAGCCCTACCCTGGACTCCAGCCTTAGTCTGGTGCCTTCCCATCCACCTTCCACACAGGAACCAGAGAGCTGTTCCTAAGACACTAACTCAACTTGACCATGGCCCTCCTCTGCTCAGCATTCCTCCTGCCACCCAGTGCCCTCAGGAGAAGGCCTGCCACCAAAAGGCCCTGTTTGGTTTGTGTACTGCTGGCCTCTCCCACCTCCCCTCCCCTCCCCCTCCACCCCCTTCTCCTGGAACAGTTCAGCCTTACTACCCTCCTTTCTGCTCAGGAACAACCCAGCGGGTTCCCCCCTCAGGGCCTTTGCCCTTCAGGTTCCCTCTGCTGAACAATGGGCACTTTTCTTCCCCGGGGGGTTCCTCCTCCTTCTCCAGGGGCCCTCTCTTCCAAGTCTCCCTCCACACACACTCAATGCCCTGTGATCATCTCTCACTGAAGTCACCTTGTCTCTACTGTTTTCTGTCTCTGTCGAGTGAGCTCCCAGAGGCCTTAGCACTCCAGGGCACACACCACCCAGGACGCCCTCGTCCCTCACTGACCCTCTCCTCCAACGACTCACTGTTTTCTCCAGTGCGGGCACTGTGGGCTCCGGGCTGGGCACTTGCACAGGTGGCTCAGGCAACAGCTCAGCCTCCAGTTCCATGGGTGTGGGGCCCAGGACCTCATCGTCCCTGGGGAGAGGAATGGGTGAGGGGAGGGAGAGCTGGCCCCATACCAGAGGCTGCCGATCCCCTGCGTTTAGAGCCAGGACTCCCTAGCCTGTGGGCGAGGGGCGGCCAGACCCAAGACCCTGTGGTTTGAGGAGGGGGAGGGGGCAGAGTGAAGAGAACAAATTGCCAGGCTGGTGTGACAGGTCCTCTTGCTAGGAAAAGGCCTGCCCCTCATAGGCCTCAGGCCCCTGGGAGCCACCCTCACTGCAGCTTCTGCGGGAATCCAGGGTCCAGACACGTGCTAGGGTCTGCTCGTCTCCTTCCTCTCTGTATGACTTTTGCAGACCCTTCTCCTTAGGGCCTCAGGACAGTGAAGGGGACCCCACCTAACTCTGGTCACCCCCAAAGATGTAGTCTTAAGACTGGGTGTGGGATCCCAAGACTGTGATGCTAGACATCCACACACCACTCCCTCAGACCCAGCTGCTGACAGGGGGACAAACCTTCCCTAGGAATATGGAATTGCAATAAAAGTGGATGTCCCTCCCTGCCAGCCCAGCAATCCCACTCATGGAAATACGTCTCAAGGGCCTCGTGATCTAGACATGCGCAGAGACCACCCTGCAGCTGTTCATCCATCAGGGATTATGACAGAAAGCACGGGCTAATGGAGCCCTCACCCGCCCAGTAAGGAGGACACTACACAGCAGGTCAGGATCATGTCGTGGTTCATTCATGAGAAGAAATGGTGTTTGCAATATGTCATCCAGCAACAAATGAGATTAGAATACAGCATCTTCTCACGGTTGTTAAAAATGTGTGTGAGCCAGGGACCATTGCTGATGGTGGGATTCATTTTCCTTATCCATACTTTCTAACTTACTTGCGTCAAGCAATGTATTATTTGTATAATTAATGTTTTTAAAAAGCTTTATGGTTGTGTGAGTGATTCAATGAGTTTGTGTTCTTTTAAGATTGATTTAAAAATTCTAAAGTTCTTATTTTCTAAGATTTTGAGGTCCCATGACTCTGTGTACTAGAAATCTAAAAGTGAAAGTTTGGAAGATTCTGGAAGGCCGAGTCTGTTGCTCTGAGGTTTTACAATTGAATCTAAAATTTCAAAGTACTTGTGGTCTGAGATTCTAAGGTCCTACCACTCTGGGCTCCTAAGAGTCCTTGGTCCCACGATAATAATGTCCCAAGACTGATCCTGCAGTTCTATTGGGTGCCAGGATATGGTCACCCCGAGCAGCCTCCGGGGGCCGGCACCCCCAGCCCACTGCCCACGGGCTGCTCAGGGGCAGCGCTCACCTGAGGGCCATGCAGGAGTAGGAGTAACCCACGAAAGGCAGGTGGACCCCCAGCGGCACGCCTTCCTGTATGTCTGACAGTGTCTCCTATACAAGAGAAACACAGATGAGAGATGACCAGCAGTTGTCAGGCTGGCCCCTCACCCCTCCCCAGTCTTGGTGCCCCCAAACCCACCCCCACTTGCAGCCTATCTAAAGTGGCCTCTCCATCATTTTCTTGTATTGTATCCTGCTGCTTCCCTCAGGGCCCTCGCTGCTGTAGAATTATATACTTCTTCACACTGTAAGTGCATGAGGGACCAGGGCTGACTTGGTCCCTGTGTCCCCAGCAGTGCCCAGCACAAGGGCACCCAGGCTGAGCACGCCCTCGGGAGAGCTCGTCCGAGGATTGAGAGAGAGCTGGCCTGAGAAGAGAGATTCCTCTACAGTGCTCTTCTGCCTCTTGCTTCTCACCCTCTCAGGTCTCAGCTCAGACAGCACCCCCCTCCAGGAAGCCCTCCAGGACCTTTGATGCTGGGTCAGGAGCCCCACCCCCCACACTCCCCCATCTCAACCCTGATCTCTCTGGGGACAAGTCTGTGTCCCCCACAGGACTGTGAGTCTAGGTCACCACTGGGTTCCCAGCACTGGGGGGCACAGAGCAGGTGCTCTGGGGAAGGAATGATTCCAGGACCCCAGGATGTGGGCACTCTCCCTACCCCAACTTGATGGAGGAGGCATGGGGGTGCCCTCTGCCGAGCCGCCGTCGCAGGTACCTACCCCGCCCCCGCTCACCATGGCAGTGAGCCCATCTTCCACCACATCGAAGTTGCACGTGTCTGTGGCACCCTCGAAATCAGGCGTAAAGGGGGGCATGCTGTCTCGGAGACCTTCCCAGTCGAGGTCAAAGAAGAAAGGATGCTTCTGGAAATCACCTGCTCCATCCCGGCCCAGCCGCATCTCTGGAGGGCACAGGAGCCGCTGGATGAGGTCGAGAGCCTCCTCGGGGACTCCTGCGTCCGCCACCGGTAGAGACAGGTGCTCCTGCTCGGAGGCAGAGGGACAGAGGGGATGTGAGCCTGGGAGCCTGTGCGGAGAGCTCAGGGGTCCCTCGGGCTCTGCTCACCTTGTAGTGCACGATCTTGGCGTAGGTCTCGGCCGTGGACTCCGCGTAGAAGGGCGTCTGCCCGTAGAACATTTCGTAGGCAAACACGCCCAGCGCCCACCAGTCACACTCCGGCCCGTAGCTGCCCGGCCCGGGCCCGCCGCCCACGGCCTGCAGGATCTCGGGGGACAAGTAGTCCGGCGTGCCCACAGCCACCAGCGACCGCACCTGAGCAACAGGACCAGAGTTGACTTGGCCCCGTCCCCCGAGCTCTGGCTCCACCCCCTCCTTCTAACCACGCCCCCCAGCTTAGTCCCTCCTCCTGCCTCTTCTAACCACGAGCCACGCGCACACTTAGGCCTGGGTCGCCTCCTCCTCCTTCCCCCTCCAAATCTAGCCCTTCAACTAAGCAGAACCCTAGTTCTGCCTCTGCCGACCCCACCCCTCGTGGGTGACCCCACCTCTCATGGCTGACCCCACTCCTCATAGGTGGCCCGAGTTGCCCACCGCGGGCGCACCGCTCACCGTCCCGTCCGCCCTCAACTTGAGGCAGGAGCCGAAGTCGGCCAAGCGGATGTGGCCGCAGCGGTCCAACAGGATGTTGTCCGGCTTGATGTCCCTGCGCAGCCGGGAGGAGGAGAGAAAGAGGGATAGGTGAGCCCCCTCACTGTCTCACCAGGCCCCGTCCTTCCAGGCAGCACCGCCTCGGGCACCACCCCTTAGGGACGTGCTCTCTAGTTCCCACCCTCCGGCCTGGCCTCCTAGGGTTCTGCCCCTTTGGGGACTGTACAATTCTGGACCCCACTCCTCAGGCCCTTCCCCCAGTGGGCTACAACCTTCTGGGGTACAACCTTTGCTCTCCCCCTCTAGGTCCCGCCCCTCGGCCTCTGCAGCGCTCACCTGTGCACGTAGCCCAGCCGGTGCACCGAGTCGATGGCCATGACAATCTCAGCCAGGTAGAAGCGCGCCATCTCGGCAGGGATCCGCTCCCCAAACTTGCTCAGCAGCGTTAGCAGGTCCCCGCCCACGTAGTACTCCATGACCAGGTACTAGGAGGGGACGTGTCCTGGGGGTCGGTAGCCCCCCTAGGCGCCGATCGCTGATAGCCCGAACAAAGACTCCCAGAGACGCCCCATCCCGGGCAGAAACCCCGCAGCCCCAGCCCCAGGAGAGCCCAAGAGATCCCCCAAAACCCCCTAATTCTCTCAGGATGTCACTGGACAGAGATTCGCTCCCCCAGAGAGAATCAGGGAAAAAGAGAACCCAGGGGCCTCCCAATGCCACAGCACAGGGCCCAGAGCCCAGATACACCGGCCAGAGGCCCTCACGTCGGCTTTAGAGAGCAATCCCATTCCAGGTGAGAGACTCCTCCGATGGCGGCATCCTTCCAGAGTCCCCCAGAATCAGCGGAAAGGGACATCTCCCATCCCCAGAAAGGAGGGCCCGTTCCTACCACACACACACTCCCGCAGGCATTTCGAGGCAGCGCCGCAATCCTAGAACTTCCTCCCCCTGCCCCCGCCTCATTAACTGACAGCCTCGGTCGGAGGTGGGGGTCCGTCCCTCCAGTCGCCCTGGCCTGGGGCTCACCAAGTAGTTCTCGTCCTGGAAGGCGAAGTGCAGCTCCGTGATCCAGCGCCGGTCCCCGTTCACCAACACGTCCCTCTCTTCGCGGAAACACGACACCTGCGGGGCAACGGGGCGACCTGAAGCTGGAGTTGGGGGACGGGAATCCCCAGCGCCCTGCACACTCAGCCCCGGCCCTCACCTCGCCTCTCTTCAGCATGTCCCACTTATTCATGATCTTCATGGCGAACACCTGGCCCGTCTGCTTCATCTTCACCACCGCTACCTGGAGGCCGACACAGGGTGACTGGGGCGGAGGTGGCGGGGAAGCACTCGGGCTCACCGGGACTGGACTCCACCCCTTACCCCGCCCACGAGAGGCCACGCCCACGGGCGCCAAGCCCCACCCCCACCCCCGCCAGTCTTAGGCGTTCTAAACTCAGTCATTCATCAATTTCTAAGGCCCCGCCTGGAACTCCCATGTCCCGCCCACCGCACGGAGAGTCGCGTCTCCCGCCCCGCCGAGCTGCCGCCGCTGCTCAAGGCTCACCTCGCTGAACGCCCCGCGTCCGATCACCTTCAGAATCTCGAAGTCATCCCTCTGCAGTCGGGCCTCCTTAAGCCTCGCCGCGATGGGTTCCACTGGGGGGCGGGGGCAGGTGACAACCGAGGGTCACTGGGATTGACACTGGAGACGAGGAGGAAGTCCCACCCTCTGTCCCTCAGTCTCCCTCTCCCTGCCCCTCCTTCTCTCCTCTCTCTGCCTCTTAGTCTCCCCATTCTCTGTTCCTCCGCCTCCGTCTGACCGTCTGCCTCCCAAGAGCTCCCCCACATAAACACTGTGTAATGTTTTGGGGACCCCAAACTGCCCCCTACAGAGAGGCGGGATGCCTGGGAACCCCTTTTTGGGACAGGGCATTAGGTCAAAGGGCTCTAGTGGGTGCAGGATGGAGAGGGTGGGGTAACAGTCTGCAGAACGGAAGCCCTGAAGAACAGAGGGAGAAGAAATAAGGCCCAGTTCTTAGGGCTCCCTGGGCCGCAGGCCCCCACCCCCACTCGGGGTGAGGGCGAGAGTGCGCAGACCGGCCCCCCCCCTCGGGGCTCTCCTTCAGTCTGTCCCGGTTTGTGGCCCAGACCTGCAGTGTAACCCAGTACTCTAGGTTCAGATGCACGTGGCCCCTGACCACACTTTGGGAAACACTGGATTTGGGGCGGGGGCTGGGAGAAGGGCGGGGAGAGGGAGACAAAGCCAGCATGGGCCGGAATCCAGGGCTCCAGTGCTGCAGGCTCAGTCCAGGTTCCAGTGTGTTATCTCGTCCTCTCAACTCCAGGGGGAGGGCTTTATTATTGCCCCTTCTTTACAGAGGGGAATCACGGCTCAGACAGATGAAGGCATTTGCCCAAGGTCCTCCAGCTAGGAATGTCAGAGAGGGCAGTTTGGGGGGAGGAAGGCCGGGGGTGGAGGCAGGAGACAGAGAGAGAGAGAGAGGCCTGGACTCCCAGGGGTGGAAGAAGCTGGGGACTTTGGAGGCAGGACGGAGAGAGGGATGGGTGTGAGCAGGAATGAGGGGAGATACAGTGGGCTATGGAGGGGCGACAGGAGCCCCCATGGGGTTCGGGGAGACTGGGCCGGCAGGGAAGAACCAGCCAGGGCCCAGGACGGGGGAGGGAGGAGAGAGCCAAGATATTGAGCCCTTTTAAGGCAGCGGGAACCCAGGCCCCCTCCCCCGCCTGGGAGGCCTGGCAGGGGAGGGGCCAAAGGATGCTGCTCGGGCCACAAAAGGAGTGCTCCCTACAGGAGAGCCAGACCCCTGCCCCCACCTCAGGTCTCAGTTTACCCTGCCAGCCCACTTCATCCTCTGCAAAAGTGGGGCGGAGAGAGTTACTAAGGGCTGCAGGGAGGTAGGGAGAAGGTTCTTCCAGGGGCTGAGTGGCCTGGCCCTTGGCCTCCACCTTCCTATCTGCAAAACGGGAGAAGGGAGAGGAGCAGGGCCTGGGTCAGAAAGAGATGGAAGCAAGAAAAGAGGAAGTGAGAGAAGGCAGAGAGACCAGAAACAGGGACGGATAGAGCCAGGGACACACAGAGCCCAAGGACCAAGAGCAAGCCCCTGAGGGACAGACTGGTGGAGGGACAGAGTGGCGGGGTGTCAAAGAGACAGAAACCAGAGTGAGTCCTGGGCTAGGAGGGGGTGGGGGCGGACACGGCAGGAGGCTGAGGTTGAAGCATCTTCCCTCCAGACCTGCCTGCAGGGAAAGACCTGGCAAGAAGGGACTTTGTGGGAGAGCTGAAGGTTGGAGGGTGTGAACTAGAATGAAGGGACCCGGGGAGCTGGAGGAGAATCAAGGATCCACAGAGAGGAGACCAAGGTGGGGGCATGGAACCTCGAGAGAGAGAGCACACCCAGAAGAGCCTTAGATTGTTCCTCCTCCATCCAAGGGGGATGCTGGGTGGCGCCTGTCCACAGAGCTGGTTCTCCCCCACGGCCAGCCTGAGTCACCCGCCCTCCCAGTGCCTGGGCACCTGTTGGGGCAGCTGGAGAGGCTGGCGCCGAACACCTGCCCGTCAGCCGCGCCCCTGGCAGCTGCCCCATGCTGTCCCTCTCCGCATGCCCCTGTGCTCTGGGAAACCAGGGTGGAGGGCCATAAGGCCTATTTGCGGGGGGAGTCCAAGGAGACGGGGCTCCCAGCATGTCCCTAGGCCTTGACTCGGGGCCGGGGTGCAGAGGGACCACGGGAGGCCGTGCCCAGCCTAGCTTACCAGGACTCCCAAGCCACGGTTCTGAGTCATGGCTGCCCTGGCCTCTGCTGACCCCAATCTGCCCGGCCAGGGTGGCAAAGGAGTAGGGGCATGTCGCCCCAGGACCCAGGCCCAAGCTCCGGGCCCCTGAGTGGGAGGCTCTCCCTATGTCCATCCTGCCCACCCCCAACAGTAGCCCCTGAGCCCAGACCCATCTGTTGCCTCTGCCCTGCCCTCCCCAATCTGGGGTAGCCCATGCAGGCAGCACTCACCCCACTGCAAGAAGTCCACCACATACTTGTCCTGGGCCAGGTCGGAGGCACCTAGCTCCTGGTGGACGCCCAGGAGAAGGTCGAGCAGGGGCTCCAGCCCCAGGAAGCCGGGGTCCAGCACCAGCTGCTCGAGCCGCCTCAGCCGCACCTCGGCTGACATGTCGGGCAGGCAGCACCATGGCCCCCTCCCCGGGCCGGGGGCTCGGGGTCCTCCCGTCACGGGGCCTGGCAGCCCCTGTCCAGGCCCCTGGGCCCAGGCCGCATGTCTGCTTGTCCCTGGCTGTCCCCTGGGCCTCTCTGGACACTTCTCTTTGCTGGCTGCTGAGGCCTCCTCCCCTTCTCCCCACCCCTCGGTCCGGCCCCCTCCCGCCTCCAGGCCTTAACCCCTCACAAGCCAGGCCCCCCAACTCCCTCCTTCCAGGGCCCCCAGAATGCCTCGGTGTGAGAGGGGGGTGGGTGGAGAATCTCAACTCTCTCACTCCCCCCAAGAAAAAGGCGGAGCACAGAGGAAGCTACAAGTGTGACAGATGCCAAAGATGAGCCCTCCCATTCCCCCGAGGGGGCCAATTGAGGTTCAGATGATCCGGTAACACCCCTCCCCAGCCCTGGAGTTGGGGGGGAGGGAGGAGAACGGGGTGAGGCCTGGAAAGGGGGGTGGGAGGACAGGGCAGCTTCGCGGGTGACTCAGCCACGGATTCAGACTTTGGGACAGTTTAAATTTAGCCCTCAGGCCCTCGGCTTCTCACTGACTTTTTTTTGGCAGGAGGGTGGGGAAGGGGCGGTGAGACAAACGGGAAGGGAGGCCCTCAGGAGCCAGGACCAGGGGTGACTTGCTGGCCAAAGCCTGGGGGAGGCAGAGGAGCCCCCAAAATAGCTCCTTGGACCCTGGCCCTGCAGCCACATTCCTGCCCGGGCTAGGATTAGAAACAGAAACATTTCGGGGGGTGGAGGGTGGAGCGGGAAGACACCACTCCCCGCAGCTCCAGAGAGCCAGCCAGGAGGGATTCTCGTTGTTCTCTCCAGCGGTGGACAGCTCTCCTGGAAGAAACCATGCTCTCTGGCTGGCTCGGGACGCCTGGCCCCGGCTGAGCCAGGTGTGAGGCAGCAGGAGGCCAAGACTTATGCTCAAGGAGGTTCACTCACTCTGGGCACCTCGGGAGAAGCCTGGGGGACCCCATCTGGGCAGGCCCCTATGATATCTGATTTGGCAAGTTTGAGCACTTTCAAACAACTTTGAAAATCCTGCCCAGGACTTTGAAGAGGAGGCCCTGGTGGCTCTCTTCCCTGGAGAGCTTGCGGGGCAGAAGGATGCTCTTCTCTGTCCAAAGGGCCCTGCCCAGGGCCGGCCATGGCGGATCCACCTGCTGTGCACTGAGCACGTCCCTCCTCTGGCCTTCAGTTTTTTCTGCTAGTGAAAGGGGGCAGGGAGATGGGGGTCGGGCAAGGCAGGGCCTAGCTCTTCCCTAGGTGAAAGTGGACCGACTCTAGGACACATACGCTTCCTCCACACCTCCACGCAAGGGAACAGAGACACTGTGAAAACAGGGACCTTTAGTATAAATAAGAGCTCCTGGGAGGCAGGGAGGGCCCCGAGGGGCTTCCATAATTTAACACTCTTCAAAAGCACAGACAACAGCACGGGGCGGGGCAGGGCAGGGGAGGGGTGGCCCCTGCCCTACCAGGGACCAGGAGTACACTGCAGAGCTGGGGCTCTTGTGGGAGGGAGTTTCTCCCCCAGGAGTGACCAGTCACATGCTGGGGTCAGGGATGAGGCTAACACTGATGTCTCAGAAGAGGGGGTCACTGAACTTGGCAGTGGGCAAAGACAAGGCTGAGGCCACACAGGCCACTACAACCCCCCAGTGTCTGGGCCAGTCTGGGGGACCCTCTGCCCCCCAAATTTGTGCAGGGCGGGGGACCGGAGCAGTCCATCTGTCATGGTTAGTCTTGTTAATATGTTGATCCATGAGGTCAGCAGGGAGGGTTATGGCTGGGAGGTGGGGGACATGGGGTGGGGGACCCCGACATCCATGGCTTCACACCACTGTGCCACTCGGGGAGTTGCCTGGTTGGGAGGAGATGCCCTGGGGAAGACGAGGGGAGAGAGGAGGGTTAGAGACACCCGGGGGTCCTGCCAGCCCCACGGGGAGGGAGCCACCCTGGCCTGGCCCTTCAGTCCACCCCAGACCCCCAAAGGCCGCTGCTCTAGGCCCAGGAATTCACATCTCGGCTAGCTTCCCTGTCCCAGTAGGTGGCACTTTATACAATCATTAAAGTCCTTGGGTGATCCTGAGCAAAGAGGATAGGGGAGGAGTGGAGGTGGGGAGAGGGGAAACTGGGGTTCCCTTCTGACTGGGGGGTCCTGAGATTCTGGGGGGTGGGGAACTCAAGGACAGTCCTACCTCTACCACTGACTTGCTGGGTGACCTGGGCCAACTTCCTTCCCCTGTCTGGGCCTCGGCCTCCTCGTCTGTGAACTAGGGAGATAGAGGGGTCTCTTTCAGACTCACCAGACTCCCCAAATCCCAACCCCCCTGCCTCTGAGGCTCTGAGACTGTGCTCTAAGTTCTAGGGATTCAGGACCCTATGATTCTAAAACTGCTCTTCTGAGGAACCAAGCCGTGGCCCTCAGATCTGGCATCCTGGGCACCTGAGCCCAAACCCTGAGAAGCCAAGACATCTGAGACCACAGCTCCGAAGTTACACCTACTGGGAACTTCCTGAACCCCACGGCCACCTCAGGAGGTGGGCACACGCACCTGCCACTCATCTTCAAGCCTCCCTGTCCTAAGAGGCGACAGAGGTCAGAGAGGGCTGGTGACTTGCCCAAGGTCACACAGCGAGCCCAAGTGCAGGACCGGACCCTGAGCCTGGGGTCTTACAGCCCGAGCCTCCAGCAGTGGGCTCAGATCCCAAGAGTCCGAGACCCAGGTTGGAAGCTGGGCCCACAGGCTCAATCTTGCCCATAGAGCTTGACCTGCAGTATTCAAATAGTTTCACCATTTAAAAATCATATATTCCATAGAAATACAGATTCAGCTTTGAGTGACAAGCATAAGACCTGGCCATGCTGGGCCCACTGGCTGCCCTTCTGATAGCTGGCCATGGTCCCCACCACTCCCAGCTGTCTCTCATACCTGATGCTCTCTCTGCTGCTGTCACCAAGGTTCTAGAAGCCTGTCACTCTAAGATCTGAGAGGTCTTGTTCTGAGACACTATGATTTCCACGGCTTCCCCTCATCCCACAGGGCTGGAAGCTGTGAGAGTGGTGAGAGTGACAAACCCTCTGCTAACACCCGCTCGTCCTGGGTCCGTGACTCACCGCCTTGCCCGGCCGGGCCCAGGTGCAGATGAGGCCCTCCTGGCAGGCGGTGATGATGCAGTCCTCCAGGAAGAGGAGGACGGTGAGCCGCTCCTGGGCGATCTTCTTGCACACCAGGGGCTCGAGCAGCGGCACCTCGTGGATGCGCGGGCACAGCGCGGTGCCCAGCACTTTGGCTGGGTCCAGCCGGCTGCGGGGGGCGGGGCCACTGGGCTTGTCCCCACCGCCCCCGCCCCCACTGCCGCCCCGGCTAATGTTGCCCAGGCTGTGGTAGCGCTTGTGCTCCTTCTCGGCCCCCCGGTCCCGCCGCTCCTGCAGCGTGAGCGTGGCAAAGCGGCCGATGCTGAATGGCGTGCCCGGCTCCGTGGGTGCGCCCGGGCCGCCCGCCTTGCCGCTGCCCGCTGGGTGCGGGAGGCTGTTGGAGCGGGACAGCGAGCGGGGCAGGGGCCCGGGGCCTGGCTCAGCACCCCGCGAGCTGCTGGCAGCGGGCGGCGTGGTGCCAGGCGTGCCGGGCAGGGTGCGGGTGCGGGCCAGGGGCGGGTGGGGGTAGAGCACGTCTTCCGTGAGGTCCCACAGGCAGAACTGCGTGTCCTGGCCGGCCGAGCCAAAGCGGTAGGTGATGGAGCCGGCCTTGGGCAGTGGGGAGAGCGGGGCTCCGCCGCCTGAGCCTGTGCCCGCAACCTCCGGCTCCTCCTCCTCCTCGCCACTCCGCTCCCCGTCACCACTGGCTGTGGCCGCCTCCTCGGCCCTTGTGGTGTAGGGGTCGAAGGCCACCGCGTTGACCCAGGACTTGTGGCCGTGGCCTCGGGCCACCACACGGCCCTCGGTGAAGGACCACACGGTGACGAGGTCGTCTTCGCCCCCTGTAACAACGTAGCGCCCGTCGGGGCTCCAGCACACGCAGAGCAGGCCCCCAAAGTAGCTCTTCATGAGCCCCCGCAGGAGCATGGAGTCGAAGTGGAAGACGCGCAGGCAGCCGTCCTGGCTGACGCAGGCCAGGTGCCGGCCATCGGGCGAGAAGGCAAACTCGTTGAGGGGCCCCTCGCCCACCGCCCACTTGGCCAGCGGGTTGCGGGGCGCCTTGCTCTTGGCGGCGTAGACGGCGAAGCCCTCGCCCTGCTTCAACAGGCTGTACTGGGGCGGGGCCGAGGCGCACGGGTGGCTGACGTTGTACAGGTACAGGTGGCCGCTGGCGTGCGACGCCAGGAACAAGCTCTCCGACTCAGGCAGCCACTTCAGATATGTCACCTTGGTCTTGTCGATCAGCCGCTGCCAGGGGAGATGGTGGGGGGTTGGGAGAAGGCAAGTGGCCCCTGGCACACCTCCTCCCCAACCTGGTACCCCCTCGATGGCCGTCAGACATGGCCCGGGCCTCCTCAGAGAGGAGATCCCACACAGGGGAAAGGGATGGCCACCAGGTCATGGAATGCAGGGGAAGAAGGGCTGCCTCTGAGGCGGCCATGGGGAGCTCCACGGAGCCTCAATATCCCATGTGTGGCACGGGGCAGTTCTGCCTTCCAGAAAACCATCCTCTGTCTAACCCTCTCCACCGTCTTTACCACGTCAGGCTTCAGGCAAGAAATTGATTCACAGAATATCAGCTCCCCCAAGGAAGGGACCTTTCTCTATGTGGTTCACTATTCCAGCCCCAGAGCACAGAGCTGTGCACACAGGAGGCCCCTGGGAAGTATTTCCTGGACACACGAGTGACAACCCCATCCTGCCAGCTGCTCATCTTTGCTCCTTTTTCCTTCACAACTCACATCCAATCCTTCAGTAATACCCAGAACCTGACTTCTCACCCCCCACTCGACTCCAGCCACCCTGGTCCCAGCCACCAGCAACCATGCAATGGCCTAAGTGGCCAGCAGGCTGCCACTGCCCATGTCTATTCTCTACACGGTTGCCAGAGAGACACTGTTAAAACGGAATTCAGCACCTGGCGCTCTCTCCCTCTGAACAGCACGGCCGCCTTTCTCAACCAGGGGTCCAGAGAGAACTAAGCCCTGAAGCCCTTAGGCATCCGCTGTACGTATTGAGTTAACTTTCTTCCCAGGTGTCTAAGGTGCTTCTCATTCTAGGGAGAATTCCGAAAATAATCAAGTCATTCCTGGGTTCTATGGCTGGAGAGAGGCTCTAAAAGCCAAAGTCTTTTCTATGGCCCTCCAGACCTTCCCTGACCCGGCCCCTCCCAGTTATTTCTCAGAGCTCATCCACCACCCTCCCCTTCAGTAATGGCTCTGGCCACATGGCCTGTTTGCTGTCCTGCTTCTGGGCTTCTGTCCGGGCTGCTCCCTCTATACTCAGAATGTCCTTCCCCTGATAACTTTCTTTGCCTCTGTCAGGTCTTTCTTTCAATGTCACCTCCCAGTCAGGCCTTGCCTGCCCACCCTATGTAAACCTCACCAAGCGCTCCCCAGCCCCCTCTGCTGCTGGAGTTCCCTCCATAGCACTCAGCACCCGCTGACATCCAGCGTCCTTGACTGAGCTGATAACTGTCTGCCTCCCCAGCCAGACGCAGCTCCACAGCGGCAGGGCCCTCTCTCTGGCTGTTCTGTCCGCTGAGATGACAGCCCCAGTGCTCAGGACACGCCCGGGCACAGAACAAACGCTCAATAAATATTCTGTGAACGGATGAGCCGGTGCATTTTCAACCCATTCACGTTCCACTCCCTCCCTCCCGCCATTCACGCATTCTGTATGTGTGGAACACCTCCTCTGAACACAGAAAGACAGGTCAGGAGCAGTCCCCATCACGGAGAAGGCTGTTTGCTGCCATTTCCTCTTGTGCCAAGTCCGCCCAGGACTGAGCAATCTCCACACGTGATTTTGCGACAACAGTCCTGTGAGGGAGGGATGAGAATCCCATTTGGCAGAGGAGGAAAACTGAGGCTCAGGGAGGAGCCATAACCTTCCCAAAGCCACATGGTGAGTAAATGGTGCAGCAAGGATTTGAACCCAATGCCCACAGGGCCCAGAATGTGAAGAGCAAGGGCTCTGGCTTCAAACAAGTCCTAACCAGTGACTAGCCTCAGTTCCCTAATCTGCAAAATGGGTATCACAATCTCTAACCCACTGGGTGATGAAAACTCCAGGAGTACTGTGTTCAGCAGAGGGCTAACACAGCACAGGGCCAGGACACAGGAAGCACAGCTGTCATCATTAGCTCTTATCACTCTAGCTGCTGCCTGTCACCCATCCCACATGTCTGTCAGTCTATCCCTCTTCTCTCCCTCATGCTGGCCCTCTCAGGCCTACATTGCTCCCCAGGCAGCTGCAAACAGTCTTATGGCAAACAGTGTGTGTGTGTAGAGGTGAGGGGGAGCAGTTCTGGGCGCTGGAGGCCCACAATCACCTCTTCGTTGAATAGCTTGCTGGTGTCCTTCTTAATGAGATCCAGGTACTGCACCTGGCCGGCTGAGAACCCCACCAGCAGGGAGATGGTCTCCGTGGCAGCAGTGAACTGGTTGAAGTCGTGGCAGGTGGGCTGGGTGCCCTTATAGATCCGCTTGTCAATTGGCTTGTTGAGGTCGATGGACTTGAGTGGTGGGAGAAAAGGAGTTAATGGCTTCTACCACGTAGAGGAAGGAAGAGGGTGTTGAGGTTGGGGGAAACCACCAAGAGGAAGCAGGGTGAAGTCCCTGAGGGAAGTGGGTAGGAGGATGGGTGAGCGGGCGGGCAGTGGGGTGGGTGGTGAACCACAGACAGGAAGGGGGACCTAAATCTCAGACAGATAGAGGGAAAAAAAAGACAGGAGGGATTTCCCCCCTCCACATGAGACCACAGTGCCTCCCCAAAGTTCAGGGACACCCTTGCCCACAGCATCACGGTTCAGGGTCCCCATAGTCCCTGAGCTCCGATTCCTTTCCAGTCCTGCCCCGTAACCTCAGCAACTCGCCTGGGTCTTAGCAACACAATATTCCAAGCCCCCCAAAACTCAGGGTCACCCAAATTGCCACCCTCTAAAGCCCAACGTCCCAGGATTCCCTTCACTTTGGAGTCCCTAAATCTCAGGACCCCCATCACAGTTCAGGAATCCATAAACCTCACGGTCCCCCACATTTCCGGTACCTTCCTCACCCCTGGGCTCTCAGGATCCCCATCACTTCTGGGGACCACCATAAACTCCAGGGGACTCAACTCCTCTGGCACCTACGTCACTTTGGAGACACCCATCACAACTGAGGATGTCCCCGCTGGGCTTTCATCACCTCCAGCTCCCATCAGCTCAGAGATTCTCATTTCCTCCAAAACCCCAATTTTCTCTAGGATCCCGTTCACCTTCAGGATCCCTATCACCTCTAAGCGTCGCATCACTTCCAGAATCCTCCTCACCTCCGGGCTCCCCAAGTCTCAAGACCCTCCCCCCCAACACCTTCTGGACTGCAATACCCCTGGGTTCTGCATCACCTCAGGACTCTTCATCACCTGCAGAATGCCTGCCATCCAGAAACCCGGAGGATCCCACACCGTCTCAGACCCCCCATCACCTCCAGAGTACTCACCATCCCAGAACCCCCACGCATAACCCGGGGATCCCACGTGACCTCAAGGTTTACCATCACCTCCACAATGCCCAGCAACCCGGGAGCCTCCCATCACCTTTCAGCATCCTGCATTACCTCCAAGAACCCTTTCCTCCTGGGATGTCCATCACATCTCGGAAGCCCCTCTGATGGCCTCGTATCGATTAGGGGGTCCCACCCCCATGCTCTCAGCACCCCGGGCCCACGACGCAGGCCGCTCACCCGCTGGCTCCCGCGGCGGCAGCAGCCGGGATAGAAATAGAGCTCGCGACCCAGGTTGAAGCAGACGCGGTCTCCTCCGGCGCCCAGCCCCGCGGGCGTGGCGGGCGGCTCCCCGGCCCCGGCGCCGTCGGGCTCCCCGAG